TCCCGTCTCCCGCCCAATCGGGATGCGTCAAAGCAGGAATCAACTTTAGCAACAGCGACCAAAACACGCACATATATCTCGCGCCACGCCGCGCCTCGACCATTGCCGCCATGGCGGACAAGATCACCTCCAAGAACCTCTCCTACGACACCAAGATCCCACCGTTCCTGCGAGCCCTGCACGCGCAAGCAGCAGGTAACGCGGCGGATCCCGACCCTATTCTCTCGAAGCGGCGGAGGGCGGGCAAGAAGCGGTCCGAGAGCGAGGAGGCCGAGGACGCGCCGCTGGTGGTCGACGACGAAGGCAATGTTGTCGATGTGAGGGTGGACAAGGACGGAGGTGTCGACGAGGACCAGCTGAAGAAGGACGAGGCCGACAAGGAAGACGTCACCAAAAAGGAGAAGAGGGAGGCCGACAAGGTTGCTGGCATCGGGGCCAGCAAGAAGAGAAAGGCTGGCAAGATCATTGGCGAGGGTGTTGACGATGCCAAGGAAGACGGCAAGACGGAGGCGAAAGACGAGGCCAAGGATGAGGGTTCTAAAAAGAAGGCCGGCAAGAAGAAGGGCAAAAAGATCAAGCTGAGCTTTGACGAGCCTGAGTGAAGATCTTGGCCTACACCAGGAACAAGAATCATTGCCATCCGCGGGGCCGAGCCAACTATTAATGCTGTCACAGCTGCTTGCGTCTACGGAGTAAGAAGCGGAAAGCCGACCGAGCGGGGTACGCGGGAGCGGACGAAGGACATCACGTCGGGAGAAAAAGGTTCTATACAGCCACAACTAAGGTAATCTACACATCTGCCGTGCTCACTCCAGAGCAACCCGATGCCGCCTCGCCCCCGATCCCCTTGCTACTGCAGGCTCGCCATCAAGATGGTGCATTTATTGGTATCGGTACTCGGGCTTGACGAAGTCGGCAAAGGTCTTGGGCTCCTCGTAGCCGTGGTGGTGGTCGTGGCCGTGGTGGTGGGCGTCCTCGGTAGGGCCGACGTACTCCATCTTGTAGACGGAGCCGCACTCGGGGCAGCGCTCGATGGGGCGGTCGCGGGAGATCTGTCGAAGTGTTAGCGCACGGCGCTCGGAACGGAACCGGCCACACCGCAGCGGGAGGACGACGTACGGTCAGCCAGAGGGTGACGTGGGAGTCGGCGGGGGCACCGGTGCAGCCGAGGTACTGCTCGTCACCGGCAGAGCGGACGGGGATGGGGTTCTCCATGGTTCCTGGGTTCGCATTAGATTTTTGTGTTCGATACCGAGGGGTTGATGGGTCGCATACCCTTGCGGGAGGCATCGAGGGGGCGCATGTCGAAGACGTCGACGCCCTCCATCTTTCCGAGAATCTCGAGACGCTCGAGACCGGTGGACTGCTCGAGATCGGTGGGGATGTCGCCGGGCTTGGCACCGGGACCGAGGAGGTCGTCCTCGGTCTTGACCTCTGCACCATAGCAATTGACGTTAGTTTCCTTGTTTCTCTCGAACTAGTGTGCTCGTAACTTCGCTTGCATGGCCGTCCATCGTTCGACGCGGTTCGGGAGGTGTCGTTGGTTTTTAGGTGGGCTGCCTGGAGCAATTGCAGCATTCCGGTACACCGCGCCGGCCGAGGATAGGTCCAATTCACGAAATTTCGAGTCAATTGACGGAGACCTTACCGGAGAGGGTCTTGTAGTTCTTGGCGGGGGTAGAGCTGGAGCTGGGGGCAGCATCGCCTGTGTGATCGCGCGGGTCAGCGAAGTGTATGGGTGATATCGGGTTGGCGGGCTCGCGTGTATTTTTTTCGGGATTTGGGGGAGGGACGCAAGAGTCAGGCAGGAATCAATTGAGGGATCGTACGGCGGATCATGGAGGTCGCGAAAGTGCGTCTGGCGAGGGGAGCGACGGCGGCCCGGCGGGCGACGGCGATGGCGGAGCGTTGCAAGAACATGGCGGCGGCAATTGGGTGGGTTGGAGAGGAGAGGTTCGTGACGTCGGGTTTGGGTGAAGAGAGAGGGATTTGTCGATGGCCTGATTTGATGGTTTGATGTTGCGGCTGTCGGGTAAGCTACGGGAATCCACTCCAGAGAGCACTGGCCAAGAGGTGCCTACCGTAACCGGAACATTAAGCGATTCCGCGTCACGTGATGTGCAGGCGACCAAATGAGAGCGGTGACATTACCGAGCTTGTGAGAAGGGAGCATGAGAGTGGCATGATTTGTGAGATAAACGTACAACAACGGTAAACGGCTATGTGTCTATGAGTGCCAGCTATTCATAACACGAATAATCTCAATACGGTAAATTGAGATCTTTGAGCAAGTGAGCAAAAGCCAAACCAGACTGTCCAATCCTCCTTGATTCCCCTCCTCCATAGCAATCTAAATCCGTCCTCATCATCGCTCAGTAGTACGTTACCATGGCCTCACGCTCAGTGCAAGGGAGCCACGGGAAGATGAACCCATGCGAAACTTTCTTGCCCGTTCGCGGGAAGGGGCTGGGGCCGACATCCATTCTCGGATGCTCTGCTAAGAATTGCACCTCCTCATCCCTAGGAAGAAGTCCTTCCTCCTCCTCCTGATCCGTAACGCCCGACGAGCTCATGGCTTCGTCTTCTCTGCTGTCACTTGGCATGCCAGGCTCTTGGTTGCCAGAATGATGCTCCTCTTCAGCCAACTCCCGTGAATAGCCGTCGCTGTTCAAGTTGTCAAGCGACATATGCTGAGAGCCACTCGTACCAGTGTGTAGCCACTGGTTCTGCATTTCCTCGCCTTCTGTCATTGCCTCCATAATCACGTCCTGCGCTGCTTCGATATGCTTCTCGACATTGGCAGGCCGACTCAATCTGACGAGACCTGTTCTCGTCTGACCTTGTCGCTGAGAAGTTCTCTCAGATGCTTCGGATGTGCTTGGGATCTTCGCGGTCGTGGAGACTGCTGCCCTCGTCGAGGAAGAAGCCTCTGCGGAATTGTCGGTAAAGTCCAGCGTTTCGACAGAAGATCTGGGGCGCAAAGGGATTATGAACTCGAGTCGTCGCATCTGCTTGGGAGGAGTGAAGTCGTCCACGACGATCACTTCGTCTTCGGGTGTGCGTTGGCGAATAGTTTTCGAAGACTTTAGTCTTTTGCGTCGGCCTTGCTCCGGGGTAGCTGTTTGAACCCGCTTCTTGGTCGGAGTCTGGCGCGAACGAGGCGACGGCGTGCCCGGGGTTTGAGATGCATACGTTTCTGATGCGGATGTCAACAGAGGCCCAAGAAGCCCTGAGGGGGTTGCGGTTGATGGCTCGGAAGTGGTTCCAGCTCCGTGTTGTTCCCCTGTCGAAGTCGATAGCAGTACATGAGATGTCCTGGAAAAAAGTTGATCTCCAGTTCTGTCCAGCTTGCGACCATAAAAGTTGTAGTCGTTGGTATGCTGAGCGCCGCGGATAATGGCTTGTCGCATAACCGGATCGAGAGAGTGATGGCCCTCTTCAACGATAGACCTGCAGAAAGATTTGGCTCCCGTATGCGGGCCCCGTTCGAAGATGACACTCATACGCCAAAGGAGGAAATAGAGCGGCTCCATAGCCAGCTCGCCTCGGACATGCAAAGCTTGGAGACGATTGAGGACGTTGCAGATTTGGTACAGGTTGTGCGACTGGCAAATACCCTCAGCGGGCATGTGCTCCTTAGCCATCATCTGGTTTGGATGCATCGTCTTTCCAGGGCAAAACCATCTTTTGACCACCCTCAACTCATTGGCCAGCCGATAGTACCTCCTGTCACGCTTGTCGAAGTCCTCCTTTTCCTCGTCTGTGAGAGGGCCACGCAGCATCCTCTCGTGCCTCTCATCAATGTCATCTTCGTATTGGCGCTGGAGGCGATCTGCGTCCATGGCGTCGACGAATTTTGTCCATGTAGGTACCCAGTACGGACCGTCTTCGGTGATGGGTGTGGATGGGACACCCCGAAGCATAGCCGGCCTGACGAAAGTCTTGCCGTCGTCGCTTGTGACGAAGACTTGTTCCCACGGAGTGCTTGTGATCTCGAGTAGTGCCGCTGCCTCTTCGTCGTCCTTGGGGTCAGGGGCTTCGGTGGACTCGACAGGGGCAATTGCGGCGAGCTTGGCCTTCTTCTTCTGCAGCCTGTCTCTGAGGGCAGCTAATGCATCGATCTTTTCATCGAATTTGTCGCAAAGCTGCTGAATTTTGACGCGAATTTGTATGATGGCGTCGTCGAAGCGCTTCGTGGAGCCTGAGCGGCTGATCCTGTCTCGTTTCAAGCCATCGATCTCAGCGTCTTTGTAGGCGATTTCTGTCTCGATGAGGTCGGCAGCAGCCTGAGTCTCCTTCACAGTCTCCTCTAGCTCTGCGATAGAGGAGATCAGACGCGACTTCTGGATGAGCGGGGTAGGACGAGAGGGTGAGATTGTCGGCATCTTGGAGTGGGAGGCGCCCTCGAGAGCCGGGTTTTGAAGACTTGAAGAAGGAGAAACAAAACAAACTAGAAAAAAAAGGGCTTATTCGACGTTGGATAAGCTTAGAATGTTGTGACTGCAGACGGGGTTTCGAGGTTATCGACGAGCAATTAGCGCGGTATAGGAGAGAACGCGAGGCTGTACAGCGGTAACAATGATGTGGGTGGTCGCTGAGAAAAGACTCTCGCTGTAAAACGAGGTGGTGAGTTTTTTTGTCGTCGATAGGGAGGGTAGCAGAAAGGCGGTTCAGGAAGGCGCGGGTCGTCAGACCTTCCAAATCGGCAGCCACTTCAGTGTTTAAGCAAAGGGGGAAAAGAACGGCAAAGACGGAAAAGAAAGCAACGACCTCAGTTTCTCAGGTAGAGCATGGAAGCTGCAGGTGCAAATACCCGCCAAAGGAATGTTTGTGTCATCTACAAGCGATACTCATCTACAGCCAAATTGCCTCGTCCATCTATCAACCTCCAGAGGATCTGTCTAACGTAAGTACCTACCTACAATGTATACAAGGCCTGACAACGGCCGGGGCTAGCGTGTCCCCATTCCTAGCCCGGTCGTCGGTGGTTCATCATGTCATCATAACTTTTCCTTTTCAACCTTTCGCTCTCTAATGATGCCGTCTTGATATCCCGTAGCCACATGAACACCAGAAGGACTCCACATCTTACACATGAGCGCCCCTCGCCCCTGACCCGCACGAGGGAACGAAACCTCCTGAATCCACCACCCGTCCTCCGCCCCTGAAGGATCGTTCATCACAGCCTCATCAACGTTGACGTGAACAACGAAGGCGTACGTCAGGCTTGCTGCGGTCCCTAGGCTCCATCCGAGCCCAATGTGGTTGCCCACCATCAGAAGACCGTTGCGATCTGACTCAAAGGCATGCACGAGAACATGCTGGTTCGGGTCGTCGGCCGGGAGGGGCCCTCTCAGCCGGTAGAAGAGCAGTTCCCTCCGTTTCGTTACCGGCTTTCCTTCATTCCAACCAGTCAAGTCGACCTTGTGCATATCCACAATGGGGAAATGACCCGAGGCGTCGGGGAACATGGCTTTGATCTCTTCCACGTCCACTGCAGGCGCCTTGGGCCAGTCCCCAGGTGCTTTTGCTTTGAGAATTTCGGCGAACCTTTCCTGTGGCGGGACTTCCTGGGAGCTCACACGTCCCTCTTCTGGTCGTTTGAAAGTGCATATACAGCTGAAGCACACATCGCCGAGCTCGCTTTCTAAGTCTTCGAGGTTGAAGTCATCGGCCTGCAGTCGTTTGCTTGGTTCCTTTGGCTGACGCACTATGACCAGGCGAGAGCAGAACGTTCGACTGGTAGATAAACTGGAAACCTCGTATACGAAAGGCCGGTTGGCCCTTGCCGCCGCTGAGAAGCAGCCTTGTATACTCTGAAAGATGAGTTAGTGATAGAGGTCATCGCCTGGGAAATCAACTAGATATCTCACATGAAGTCCAAAACCCCCCGAGTGAGTACCCGTCCCTGCCGGCTCCTCCTCCTCTAACGCTCGACACGCAGCTAGCGGGGCTTGTGTGTACACATGTCCTCCGTAGGCAGCTCGAGGATCTGCTTTGGATCCACGCCCCTTGCCGCCAACGAGCTCCGATCCAGGCACCCAGGCAGGCCAAAGGCTCATGTATCGCTTGACTTTGCTGTCGGGAGTTGGCGGCGGTAGGGGGGCAAGTGCCATAACATTTTGGAACCAAAGCTTCTCGGACATCGTGAGTGAGGGAGAAATGAACAGTACGACGGAAGAATGAATGGCGTTGAATGGCTGAATAGGAAATCAATTCATCAAAATAAAGCACGAACCCGAGGATCTTTCTACACGCTTATGAGATGAGTTCTGGCAGGTAAAGTTGACAGCTATGAAAGCTTTGGGGATTTGCGAATTAAGCTTCCAGGGGCCTTGTTTTTGGCCCAACAGAGTCTCTGTTTTTGAGACATCGGTCGTCCAGTGGAAAATGAACCTCGGGACGAAGTGGCCTGTGGCGGGGCCGTGGCCGTGCGTACCGGAGCTGCTCCCCCAAACTCTCGGTGCGGAGCCGAGGTAGCCATGTGAGGGGAAGCTCCTCGCTCAAGCTGGATCATTCTGCTCCTTGTTGGAGTGGAGGAGGCAAAAGATGTCTCCAGGGAGAGCCGTGGTTGTTTGTGGGGCCCCCCGGACTCGCTCCGTGAGAAGCCCATAATTATCGGCCCTGGGCCAATTCACAAGTATTGAGCTTTATGATGGCCGGCTTCCGTGTTGCTCCGGGTCCATCGGGGTGTTTACGGTGGTGGCAACAGATGGATAGAGGGACCTCTGAACGGAAAACAAGCCAAGTGGCTGATGTAAGACGGCGATGCTGATGAGTGATCACCATTGCCCGGAGATAGGGTATCATCCAAGGCATTCGACGCTCTGACAGTACTTGGACACCCATGTCGCGACTCTTCCCAAGAGGCCAAAGCCGCTTCTACCCTTAATTGCGGACACATTGCCCACCTGTTTGCCTCGACCTGACAGGACTCTTCTCTTCACGGACCCAAAAAACCAAACACGACCTCAGACGAACTTTTGGTCGGTTGTCACCTTACACTTGTGGCCTGGCGTGTGTGGCCTCGGCCAAGAGCCCACTGTCAGCGCTTTTGACAACTGATGGAAGACATAGCAGACCAGTGGGTCTTGGCACAATTGTCTAGCTGTGCCAGGTAGTTGATGAGGGTCATGAACCCATCTCTGCTGTATTTGACAAGCTTTACTGGGTCCAACATGCAGGAGTTGCAGCATGCGGGCGTTCCGGACTGCTGGATGACTTTCTTGGGTTAGGAAGGCTTGGTACTATGTTTTACCAATACCAACTGACAGAAGAGCGCTGGAAAAGACGCAGAGAACTCTTCAATGTCGACTCCTTGGCAATTCGGTCAGTAGGTACCTACTGATGCCCGGCTGCCACCGACGGACGAACCCAATTCATGGCCACACTACAAGTTACAACCACATCGAGAAAGTCATTCGTCCCCGACATTATTGGTCCAAAACCCGCTCTTCTCACCCCGAAATCACCCCCTAGTGAGAAATCTCCTAGACGGCGCGTGACACCTCCCATGTCGTGGCTAGCGGCTCATTGTCCAACAGCCCAAACCAGACCAAAGCAGCCATCCGTACGGAAAACGCACTGCTCGGTGGGCAAACGAGCACCGCGCGATGCCTTTCCGGGCTCCCCGCGTCCAATGCCCTCGCCTCGCCCTGCCGCTCCTTCTCAGCTCAGTGTAGGTATGCCATCAAGCCAAGGGTGGTGTTGATGAGCGGTGTCGGAATGATTTCTGTTGGACGGGCACACTGCATCATGCACCCCGTAGTGATGGGCCAGGCGCATGAACACGATGGCAGGACAAGGCCTGGGGAGACGGCTTTTCCCCGCAAACTGAGCGAGCAAATGAGAGACATGTTCGGTGTGAGATCAGCTTCTGCCGTCGCCTTCTGGGCACTTGGTGCTTCTTTTTGTGTTGCTACATTCCGACTGCTCTGGCCCCTTCGGTATTCGAGATGGATGCCAGTCAAACTGCTAGCGAGGAGGCGAAGAGGCAAATCGTTGCAGTTTGTCCCGTTGCTGACAGCCTGCTCTACCGGGGCGTGGTCTCACTCATTAGTCGTCGGAATTGAACCCTTTAAAGGACGGCCGACTGCGGACTTCCTAACCGGGATGCGGTTTGAAACAAGACGCAGGATCAAGTGAGGCCCTCCATATTTGAAAGCGTGGCTGTTTGTTTGGATGAGCGCCATTGGAAAACCTCAGAGCTGCGGGTGACTCAAGCCACGGGCGGAAAAAGAAACATTGCTTGATGCCCAAAAGCCGCCAAAATTTTCAGAAAAATTCGCCTTTTGTACCTTGCGGTTGTAGAAACATAACGGAAGAATCGCGATGATCAGGAATGCAGAGTCCTCTTCCTGGGCTTCTCAGTCCTTCAGATAGTGGCGAGAGCCACTTCGGGGTACACTGGCAGAGACATTGACCTTCTAACCTGCGCAACATTTCTATCCCCTACAAGCTATCAGCACCCCTGCTCCCGTAAACGCGCTCCCACCGAGCCTCCGATTTGTTTCTCGGAGGTGTCAGCGTCAGCACCTCACCTTCTACCCAGAAGACATGTGTGGCGTGCATCGTCGTGTCACATCGAATTCGGAGAAGGCAGTCTCTAGTCTGGGGTGCAGGAAATCATGTCTCTTCCTCCCTGGCGGGCGCTTCTCTCATTTACTTCCCCATCAATGTTATCGATGGGTTACTTATTTACGATGAACAAAGACCGACTGAAGCTTCACCTGATGCCAAGTCATCATGGACCACTGTCTACATCCACGCGAAACCGTGAACAAGGCGGCAAGAGATGAGATATATATCTGCCTTCCTCTTGGGAATGCTACACAAGATGCTTACCTGAATTCCTGGGCTTTCAACTTGCATACAGCTCAAGCATGTCCCAAGCCTGAAGGCTGAAAAAAAAAGCCCCAATTTCCTGCCCATGTCACATTGTCTGCCCCTCAACCCCAGACCGGGGTGGTGGTGCATGACCAGGGGGGGGGGGGGGANGCGGGGGGGGGGGGGGGGGACCGCCGCATCCCGACCATCCCATTCGTTCCATGCTGGTCTTTTCCCCAGGTCTTTGCCTTTCCTGCCTCCCGCGACCCTTGCCCTGCTTCATCTTCCTCCACACATCAGTCAACATCGACCTTTCGCTCAGCCTAGTCTGGTCTGCGTGGTACGGCGAAGTAGCACCACACAGCTAAGAAAGAGGAGGTGTGAGAGGGGAACAGAGTGTGAACACGACACGCTGGTCAGGTTACCAATGAGCGGTTCCGCCCCGTTGGTCCACGCTGATCTCCCTCCTGTGTCTCTCTTTCTCCGCCTCTCCACACTTTCTGTGCCTCTGCGGCGGTGGTAAGAGGAATCCGGCACAATAAGTAGGAGACTGGGTCTCGTGCTTGTCTTGCAGTCGCGGCCCCGAGTTAGCCTTTTCGCCTCTCCCGTCCTCCCCACTTCAGCCCGCACGCCCGACACTTGACATAAGGGTCCTTTCTATCCGGCCAAGAGAGACTCCTCCCGGCTGTCTTCCTTCTTTTTCTGGGGACGCCTTGCCCCGTAGTCACCTTCGCTTGAACTGTCCGTCATTTCTTTCGAGTGGGATGTGTATGAAAGCAAGCTCAGCACTCAGTGAGCGGATGTGGGGAATGAGACGACTTTGATCGTTCGAGTCCTCCGCCAGTGCAACCCGCGGGCCTGGACCAGGACTTCGCAAATCTTCCACCAACACTATCACTCCAGAAAAGTACCATCGCGGAAAGCCCAAATATGGTGCTCGAAGTCGGGTCTCTAAACCGCCAGACCTTAGAACCGTTCAGGACATGGCAGCTTGAAAGGTCGGGATGCGAAGACACGATCGATTCTGACGCTGGGACCGACCTATTCTCATCGTTAGTGCCACGGCAATGCTCCATACACCATGGAGGCTGCCCCTCAAATTCAGCCCAACCCCGGGGCTCGAAAGACGCGGAGAGTCCCCTGATACAATGTCTTGAGCTCCTCGCAACGGCCTCACCGAAGGCTATCCCAGCGACTGAACAGGCCTCCTCCTCAGCCCGGGAGCAGTCGAACACTGCATTCACTTTGGGCGAGAACCATGAGAAAGCCGACTTTGACTTTCCCACACAACTTTCGCAGCTCAAGCTTGAGAAACGCCGCAGGCCAGATTCAGACGTCGACGGACCACACACGGCCGCTCTGAGCTCTAAGAAGCGTCGCTTGAGACTTCATCTCATCACCAGCCGGCTGTCCCAGCCGTACTCACTACCCGCAACGCACATCATCCACCGTGACGGTGCGGCTTCGGGCGATAAACGGTTCGTCAAGCTGGCTGCGGTAGCCACCTCGCCAGAGCACGGGAAGTCGGGCTTCAATCGTGAGAGCTCGTTGATGTTGCGGGCGGCCGTGTTGAACAGAGTGAGACTCCGCGTGCGGAACGAGGCGACGCAGCGGGGAGACGTCGTCATTGCCGTTGCGGCTGCCAATGCTGCCGTGCTTCACCACGGCCAACAGCTTGCCACCGGCGCAAGATTCGTCGCTCCGTCTTCTGCACTTGCAGAGAGACAGGAACAGCCGCCCCCGAGGGTAATTTTGATGCGCCCTGGCGTAATAAATACTCCCAGTCCAAGTGCTCTGTCGACGCAGGTGGAGAGGAAACCGTCTCCTCCAAGGACGCCGCAGTCCACACGCACGTTGCCGAAATCACCACGTCTACACCCGGCCCGTTCGCCTAACTTGGCGCCGTCCGAGGCCATGTTAGAAGAGTTGGATGATGACGCTCCTCTGGCGTTCCCGACGTCAGACCACGACTGCCAGTACGCTTGGGCTGATGAAGACGACCTGGAAGACGTATACTCAGATTTTGGGGCCATCTTCGGCGGGTCGGCACAGACCCGAGATGGTGAGGACGACGGCTCGTATGAGGAATATCTCGATGAGCTGGACGGGATATCGTGGGTTGGCCGGTGATGCCTGGAAGGCGGTAAAGCTTAGATTGCAAGGCCGCCGAGTGTTCGGAACTAGACTGCTTGCTCAAGTTGAAGAGCAAGATCTAAGCGGGGCACGTTTTTCGAAGGTGGTCCTGCGATCGATAAACAACGCGAGAACGTCAGGAAGAACGAAGAGATGTGAGGATGAAAACGAAGTTGAAAACTCGACTAAATAGTGAGCATACTGGCACAGAACAAGAGAAAAGGCCGCAACGCCTGTCATTGACCGTATGCAAACCTCGCCGGCTTTCTAGCTTGCTCAATCTCCTCTCAATCACTCGATGACTTGATGTAGAAGACGCAATTTTCAACACGAAAAGGGAAACCAAGCGCGTTGAGGGAAGGAAGCACAGCATGCGCAAAAAACCTTATCTCTTGGCGAAGACAACTTCACCTCCAGATATGATGCCATTGGGTATCGCCGGAATTAGGCCGGAAACGGAACTTGGGGGAAGCTCAGGTGTGTCCTCGAGACGAGGGAGGGACCTACCCTTTGCGCCTGGAAGACCCCGCCGGTTCCGATGGTCGGCCCGGTCGGACATCTCCCCGGGTTCCGCCCCCGCCGCCTTCCATTGGGGACGTGACGCGAGGCGGGGTGTTTGGTGGGGGTTCATTTAATCAGGCGAAGCACCACCCCGGATTTCGTCTGATCCAACAAGCATCTTCTCTTATTCCCTTTGATCTGTACATACGTATGTCTATTCGCAGCATTATGGCAGAAGTACTAGACACCATCGTTATCGGAGCTGGCTGGTCCGGCGCTGTTGCCGCCCGTGAGCTCGCTGGTAAGGGACGCAAGGTCCTGGTCCTGGAGGCCAGAGACAGGATCGGAGGACGTGCCAACACCTGGGTCAAGGGAGATGTGAAGGTTGATGTTGGATGCAGCTGGATTCACGGTTACCGGGAGGGAAACCCTGCTAGATACATCGCTCAGGATTTCGGTGTTGTAAGTCGATGCGATCATGCATGACTGGCGTCAGGCTAATGAGATGAGTAGGCTGCTCACCTACCTCAGCCTGCTGAGGGTGTGATTTATGGCCCCAATGGTTCGTTATCATGTCTTGACCTGGAGGAGAATTGCCATAGCTGATGACATGAAGGCCGCCTTCCCAGTTCCAGTGCCGACAGCCTGCGTTCAGGCTTAGGTGCTGCTCAGGCTTCTACTAAGCTTCCCAACCCGTCTCCCCCAGCGTCTGCCTCATTGGCATCTGCCTTGTTGGCCCCCAACTCGGCCCTCTTCTCCACAGCCTCTGATGAATCCTCAAAGGACCTGGCCGCTGCTCTCGCTCGATCTCTAGAGGTCCCGCTGGGCCTCAAGCTCGAAAAGGCTTCCCTCAAGTGGGCTGGCTGGGAGGGTGCTACGGCATTTGCAGGTTCCGATGCTGCTCCCGAGGGAGGTTACCAGGCTCTCGTCACCAGGGTTGTCGAGGATGCCAAATCCAAGGGTGTCGAGGTGAAGCTGGGTACCAAGATTGCGGGTGTATCACAGGGTGAGAGCGGCGTCGTTGTCACGGATACCAACGGCAACAAGTTCACGGCAAAGACGGCCATTTCCACTATCCCTCTTGGTGTTCTCAAGACCCTTCCCGAGAGCACCTTCAGTCCCGCTCTGCCACCCCGATTCCAAGAGGCGATTAAGGGTACCCATGTCGGTGTTCTCGAGAAGCTTCTGCTTCAATACCCCAGCGCCTGGTGGCCCGAGGCCGACAAGGCCGGCTCCTATACCTTCTTGCCCACGTCTACTAAGCCCGTCACTGAGAGCTCTACGCCCCTTGAAGTCTTCGAGGCTTCTACTCTGGTCACCGCAAACTTCGCGGCGCCGTCGCTACCGGGCCCTAGCCCAACTCTTCTGACCTACCTCTCAGAGACCCCTGCCACCGCCCTTCTGCGACACGACCCGAAGGATGTAGCTGCCGCCTTCCACAAGTTCCTCATTTCCCGATTCCAGCCGTCCTCTCAACCCCCAGAGCCGACAGACACCAGCCTGACCAATTGGCTGACTGACGAGTACTCCCGTGGTGCGACAACAACTCCCTCAATCATTTCAGAGAACGGCGAGCGCAGTCCTCTTGACTTCAAGGAGCTGAGCAGGCCTGTCTGGGACGGGCGCCTTGGCTTTGCCGGAGAGCACACCGAGATGGAGCACCGTGGCAGTGTTGCTGGAGCCGTCGTCAGTGGGTACAGAGAGGCCGAGCGTGTCGGAAGACTGCTCAAGTTGCTCGAGGAGAGTGCGAAGTTGTAGATGACATGCGGCGTACAAGATGGGTTTAGATAGACACCGTAGATATGGGGAACTACATTGGGCTAGCCGTATTGAATCTAGGCCTCGGTGCCCTTCCCTCCTGGTACCGCTTATTGCTCGCTTATAATATTATTCGTTCGGGACTCGTTCGTGCGGAGACCCTTTCGTCGACGTGGATACGTTTTCAATCACTCAATGAGAAGCCGCCTGGAGTTTGGATGCCCTGTCTCTTGCGATGTCGCACATGGCCTGCTCAGATTAGCAAACAGCGTCGGATTTCGGGCGGCTCCGGCCTACGCACTTGTACCGCAGCGCGCTCTTCCAGAGCGATATCGCCGCGGGCGATGCGCGTGCGCATGTCCTCCATGATCTCAGGACGGCCCCTCCCATTTACGAAGACAACGTATCTTAAACCAGGGAATCGGATCTCGTACTCCGAGTTCAGCGCGGCCAGCTCGGTGCCATCGCCGGTCTGTAGTTTGGCCTGCTCAGCAACAGATTGAGCGCTCTCAACCTTTTTCGCACCCAACCGAGGGTGTGATCCGATTATCGCATGAAGTTCGGTCTTGTGGGAGGGATCGGCGGCGAGTGCCTCGAAGATCTTTTGGCAATGGGCGATCAGTTCGTTGTAGGATTCGAATGAAGCGGCGGATAACGAGGGGAGGAGTAGAGCGTGAATCGCGGGGCTTGGTTCGAAGAGGAGATCGAGGACTTTGGTTTGCTCTTCTCCAGAGAGCTGAACGAGAGTACTGATGTCGGGGAGTGAGGTCATTTTCGCTATATTTCCGTAGTTTGGGACGAATTGCTACTGAATTGACTTTCGAAGAGTGAGTTAAAGATGCCGAGGTGCGAACTGCGCGACGGGTGTGATATCATGGCACGATAAGATGATAAGATATGACCGATAAACCACACGTGATAGAGTGGCTCGTGCTGAAGTTCTGGGTCCACCGCCAGCTGCTACTACCAAGCAGGCATCGAGGCTGAAGATTTGTTTTGGAGAGCAAAGCCGACGCGAACCATCAAACGGCCACTACATCGCGACGTTTGATAAGATGCTTTGCGCAAGTGAGTGATGATGCTCCTTGATTCAATTGGAAGTACCTGACGCGGTTTTCAGTTTCGGGAGAAGCTCCCCAGGAGCCCGTTGCCTCAAAGAAGTCGGGTAGGTAGTCGCGCGCTGCGCCCGGCAGATGTGGCTGGCTAACAACGGACAGGCACCGTCTTCGAGAAGCGCTTGATCGAAAAGTACATCGAAGAGAACGGCACCGAGCCCGTTACCGGCGAAGCCTTGACGGCCGACGATCTGCTCCCATTGACTCAGTCGCACATCGTCCGACCTCGACCCCCGACCCTTACCTCCATCCCAGCGCTGCTGGCGACCTTCCAGAACGAGTGGGATGCGCTAGCCCTTGAGACATTCAACTTGAAGGAGCAGCTGGCAAGAACGAGAGAGGAGCTCGCCACGGCTCTGTACCAACACGATGCTGCCGTCAGGGTTATCGCCAGATTGACAAAACAGAGGGATGAGGCCAGAGAGGCGCTGTCCAAGGTCAGCGTCACCGCTGGCGCTACAAATGGAGATGCAATGGCTATCGACTCTGCCGAAGCTCTTCCCGAAGAGCTGGCCGAGAAGGTCAGCGCCAAGCATCAAGAGTATGTCTTTTCAAGGATAAGTGTATTGCTACGGTTGACTGACACTTTGCAGGCTGTCCAAGGGTCGCAAGAAGCGTCCAGTTCCTGAGGGCTGGGCTACCCCCGATGACATCGCCTCCTTGGACACTGTGGCCTCCACATCAACACCCCTTTCGCAAGCCTCCTCTCTTGCCCTTGAGGGTAGCTATGCTGCCGTTGGCGCCCGTGATGGACAAGCGGCGATATACTCGGTCGAAGCACAGCAGGTTGAACGCCAGGTTGCAGTCAATGAGCCCGTTCTAGACTCTGCCTGGACTGGAAGCAAGCTCATTTTTGCCACGAGCAAGGGATCCGTCAAAATTTTCGAGGGCGGTGCAGAAATTGCGTCGCTCTCCGAGCACGCTGGACCTGCGACGTCGCTCAGCGTTCACCCCACGGGTGAGCTGCTTGCTTCCGTTGGTTCGGATAAGAGCATTGCATTTTACGATCTTCACGCTCTGAGAAGAGTCAGCCGGGCATACACAGACGCCTGTAAGTTGTTGGCCCTTCGCACAGCTCTTTGCGCCCATCACTGACTGTCGCAGCTTTGACATCCTCTGCTTTCCATCCCGACGGCCACCTCTTCGCCGCTGGTACGGTTTCCGGCGAGATCAAGCTCTTCCACACGACAAGCCTCGAGTTCGCCACTGCGTTCTCTCTTGGCGCGCCCGTTGAGGCTGTGACTTTCTCAGAAAACGGATTCTGGCTGGCGGCTACGGCGAAGGGCCAGAGCTCGGTTACGATTTTCGACTTGCGCAAGGAGGGAGACGCTGCCAGAGCCAAGACGCTGGAGACGGGCGGACCTGTCCAGTCTTTGGCGTGGGACTATACCGGCCAGTTCCTTGCCACTGGTGGTGCGGGGGGTGTTACTGTTCAGCAATACATCAAGAGCTCCAAGGCATGGTCGGAGCCTTTCAGGAGTTCCGTTACGGCGGCGTCTGTGAAATGGGGCCCCGGAGCCAAGCAGCTGGTTTCTGTCAATGAGGATGGCGTCGTTTCTGTGTTTGGAGTTAAGGCGGAATAAAAAGTAGCTGGTAGTATCCAGATTTGCCGCATGTGTATTA